TGAACATACATGTGCATGTATCCTTATAACAGAATGATTTCTATTCCTTTGGGTATAAACCTAGTAATGGGATTGCTGGGTCAAATGGTATTTCTGCCTCTAGATCTTTGAGGAATCGCCATATTGTCTTCCACAATGGTTGAACTAATTTACACTCCCACCAACAGTGTAAAAGCATTCTTTTCTGCAGCCTCGCCAGCATCTGTTGTTTTTTGACTTTTTAATAACTGCCATTCTGACTGGCATGAGATAGCAACATACTAACATATGCAAAGCCTGAAGTCTTGTTCATTAGGCATATGTCTCATTCACTGAAATTTAACAACTGGAGGAATTATTATTTTCGTTCTAGAGATGGGGTCTCACTTTGTTGCCCAGGCTGGTCTTGAACTCCTGGCCTCAAGCAATCCTCCTGCTTTGGCCTTCCAGAGTCCTGGGATTATAGGCATGAGCCATCATGCACAGCCTGGAGGAATTACTTGACCACGAAAAAACACTATTGCTATTTTCCAAAGGGGAGGGCACAGTTCTTAAAAGTTCCCTTTTTTGAGACAGGGTCTCACTCTGTCACCCAGGCTGAGTGCAGTGGTGCGATTATGGCTTACTGCCAGTCTCAACCTCCCTGGCTCAAGTAATCTTCCTACCTCAGCCTCCTGAGTAGCTAGAACTACAGGTATGCTTTAGCACACCCGCTAAATTTTTATTTAGTATAGAGGCAGAGTCTTGCTACGTTGCCCATGCTGGTCTCCAATTCCAAAGCTCAAGTGATCCTCCTGCTTCTGTCTCCCAAAGTGCTGGGCACACAGGTGTGAGCTACCACACCCGGCCTCAGGAGTTCTTAATAACTGGAAATATCTGAAGTACCACACAAGAAAAAAAGTTCACAATGGAAGAAAGACATGGACACAGGAAAATTACAGAAAGCAAGGCAAATTGAGAGATTATAAAGTATTTAGTTGGTGCAAAAGCAATTGCCGTTCTTGTCATTACTTTTAATGGTGAAAACTGCAATTACTTTTGCACCATCCTAAGAGGACTACATCTCATTTCATAGAGAAAAGCACAGGAGACTCTCCCTAAATTTTGGTCATTAGAGCTCCACGGCTGGGTGCAATGGCTCACGCCTATAATCCCAGCACTTTGGGAAGCCGAGACGGGCAGATGGCTTAAGCTCAGGAGCTTGAGACCAGCCTGGGCAATGTGGCAAGACCCTGTCTCTACAAGAAATAAAAAAAATAGCCAGGCATGGTAGCATGCACCTGTAGTTCTTGAGATGGGAGGATCACGTGAACCTGGGAGGCAGAGGCTGCAGTGAGCTGAGATTGTGTCACCGCATTCCAGGCCTGGATGACAGAGTGAGACTCTGTCTCAAACAAAACAAAACAAACTATTCCACAATATCCACCAGGAACTGGATGATGGCCCACGCCCTGGTTGAGCTGCCCTGGTGCCCCCCTTCAGTCATTTCGTGGCCAAGCCCACCCCAGCCTCTTGGCAGCCTCTGAGAGAGTGCCCAGGCCCCCACGAGCTCTGTCCTTGTCTCCACTCACTCCAGCCCCATGATCCTGCGAACCACCAAACTCACCCACATCCGCAGCCTGCACGGCTCCATTCTCCATTCTCTCCCAAGCCCATCACCCTCCACTCACTGGGCACCCCCTCAGCGGGACACCTAGCTTCTCCACACGCACTGGGTGTCACCTTTACCTCACACCCCACCTGCCAGCCAATCCTACCGCCCCACCCTCAGGCGCACCCCAGTACAACCTTCCACAACCCCAACAACACCAGGCCTTGCCCAGGGGCCCTCTCACCCCCCAGCTCTGGGCTGCCCAGTGGCTTTCCTCCCTCTCTGGCTGCCCCACTGTCCTCATACCCGGCCTGTGTTCCACACAGCTCCTCAACCCCACAGCCCTGCCAGTTGCCGCTTAGGGTCCACATGCTCCCTCACTGTCCCTTGACTGCCTCAGAGAAGCCAGTGCTATCACCTCTCTTCCCTTGATGCCACCTGATTTTGATTCACAGAACTGATCACTAACTGATGTTACATATTTGTTAGTATTTTTCCCCACTAGAGGAGCCTCACCACTGAGTCCCCAGCTCCTGGAATACAGCCCGGCACACAGTTGGTACCCAATAGGTGTTTGTTCAACAAATGGATTGTTTTGAAGTGTCCTCCACCCCCAACATCTCTGCTTTCCTCTTTAATTCACCCACTCACCCACACACACAGACACACACCCCCATTCACACCCCCACATACTCACCGATATTCACACTCACTCCCCACACACTCACCCCCACACACTCACCCACATTCACACACACACACTCACCCCCACACACTCACCCACATTCACACACTCACCCATACACACACTCTCACCCCCACGGAAACACACAATGCAAAACTGAGACAAAGTAACCGAAGTATGAGAAGCTCCCTCCAAGACAAACAGCTGTATTTCAATGCTGTAGGGCAAATTAGCCTGTTGTAAGTGATGGTTATGTCACAGAGCTGTAAAATCAGGCAATCTATCAACATTTTGAGGCAATTCCCTAGGACAAGTTAAAAATTTTACCTTTCTTGAATATTCATTTTTTAACACACTAAATGATAGTCAATCAAGGCAATGGAAAATGTTAACTACATAAATCAAAATAGGCAAAACAAAGCTTAATTCTGAAATAAAGTAAGATAAAAAGTGCTATTTATTCCTGTCTTTTCTCTTTATTCCTATTAGAATAGTCATTAAGAAGCTGTACAGTGGAAGAAGTATATACGAATTGAGCAGACGGCCTGTGGAATGGATTATCTATGAGTTGAGGGAAGGCCTGTGGAGTGGATTATCTATGAGCTGAGCAGAAGGCCTGTGGAATGGATTATCTATGAATTGAGTGGAAGGCCTCTGGAACGGATTATCTATGAATTGAGCGGAAGGCCTCTGAGGCCTGTGGAATGGATTATCTATGAATTGAGGAAGGCCTCTGGAACGGATTATTATCTATGAATTGAGCGAAGGCCTCTGCAACGGATTATCTATGAATTGAGCGAAGGCTCTGGAACGGATTATATATGAACAGAGTGGAAGGCCTGTGGAATGGATTATCTATGAGCTGAGTGGAAGGCCTCTGGAACGGATTATCTATGAATTGAGCGGAAGGCTCTTGAACGGATTATATATGAACAGAGGGAAGGCCTGTGGAACGGATTATCTATGAGCTGGAGCGGAAGGCCCGTGGAACAGATTATCTATTAATTGAGTGGAAGGCCTGTGGAATGGATTATCTATGAGTTGAGGGAAGGCCTCTGGAACGGATTATCTATGAATTGAGCGGAAGGCCTCTGGAACGGATTATATATGAACAGAGTGGAAGGCCTGTGGAACGGATTATCTATGAGCTGAGCGGAAGGCCTGTGGAACAGATTATCTATTAATTGAGTGGAAGGCCTGTGGAATGGATTATCTATGAGTTGAGGGAAGGCCTGTGGAACGGATTATCTATGAATTGAGTGGAAGGCCTCTGGAACAGATTATCTATGAATTGAGCAGAAGGCCTCTGCAACGGATTATCTATGAATTGAGTGGAAGGCCTGTGGAACGGATTATATATGAACAGAGTGGGAGGCCTCTGGAACGGATTATCTATGAGCTGAGCAGAAGGCCTGTGGAACGGATTATCTATGAATTGAGTGGAAGACCTGTGGAACGGATTATCTATGAATTGAGTGGAAGGCCTGTGGAACGGATTATCTATGAGCTGAGCAGAAGGCCTGTGGAACGGATTATCTATGAGCTGAGCGGAAGATCTGTGGAACGGATTATCTATGAATTGAGTGGAAGGCCTGTGGAACGGATTATCTATGAATTGAGTGGAAGGCCTGTGGAACGGATTATCTATGAATTGAGTGGAAGGCCTGTGGAACGGAAACGGATTATCTATGAGCTGAGCAGAAGCTCGTGAACTGATTATCTATGAGCTGAGCGGAAGATTCAGGGAATTGATTATCTATGAATTGAGGAAGAGACCTGGGAACGGATTATCTATGAATTGAGTGGAACGGAACGATTATCTATGAATTGAGGGAAGACTCGTGGAATTTGATTATCTATGAACGGAGGGAAGGTCAGAATGATTATCTGCGTGAATTGGAGTGGAAGGCCTGTGGAACGGATTGCTCCATGAGCTGAGCAGAAGGCCCGTGGAACGGATTATCTAAGAGCTGAGCGGGAAGATCTGTGGAACGGATTATCTATGAATTGAGTGGAAATGTGGAACGATTATCTATGAATTGAGTGGAAGGCCTGGGGAACGGATTATCTATGAGCTTGGAGCAGAAGGCCTGTGGAATGCAGATTTATCTATGAATTGAGGCGATCAGGAATGATTATCGCATGGAATTGAGCAAGGGCCCGTGGGAATGGATTATCTAAGAGCTGAGCAGAAGGCCGGAACGGATTATCATGAGCTTGAGCAGAAGGCCTGTAGGCCAGATTATTCAAGTGAATTGAGGAAGACCTGTGGAAAACGGATTATCTATGAATTGAGGAATGAAATCCGATTATTCATGAGCGGAGGGCCTCTTGGTGGATTATCTGTGAATCTGAGTGTAAAGGGCCCGGGGAACGGCAGGATTATCTATGAGTTGGAGCAGAAGGCCTGGGAACGATTATCTATGAGCTGAGTGAAGACTGTGGAACGGATTATCTATGAATTGAGTGGAAGGCCTGTGGAACGGATTATCTATGAGTTGAGGGAAGGCCTGTAGAATGGATTACCTATGAGCTGAGAAGGCCTGTGGAATGGATTATCTGTGAGTTGAGGGAAGGCCTGTGGAAGGGATTATCTATAGCTGAGTGGAAGGTCTGTGGAATGGATTATCTATGAGTTGAGCGGAAGGCCTCTGGAGCAGATTATATATGAGTTGAGCGGAAGGCCTGTGGAACGTTATCATATAGGAATTGAGCGAAAGGCCTGTGGAATGGGAAGACCCGCACCTGCAGCGCGATCATCGGAACCTGACTCTTGCAGTGGCTGCACGTGGCTTCCCGGTATTTACACGCCTTCTCCACGTGGTCTCGCAGGTCTTTCCTCAAGACCTTTTCTTTGCAGTCAGCACGTACACATGGAAGTTCTTCAAAATGGCAATCATTTTTTAAATGCACCTGTAAGACAGACCATTCAATGTTCTTAATTCGGAAAAAATCCTAAATCTGAAATACCAAATTCTAATCTCTATACAATGAAACCATAAAGAAATGTTCTCATCTCCTGTTAGACCAGTTTTTCATAGCAAAGAGTAACAAATACGCCCAGAGACACTGAATTTCATATTCTACTTCATGATTACTCAAACTATATTGTTGAAGAATTAAGTCAACTCTGCTTCCAGGAAAAATGAGTATCTGCTAAGAACTTTGTTTTATTCCAGTTCAAATAATTTTCTAAGCTAAATTATGGGACTAATTAAAAAAATAAGGAGTTATGTAGAATTTCATGGTGAAAAAAGGTTTTAATGGGACTTCCAAAATTAAAATCCAATTCAGATTTTCTCTATTCTAAGTAGGGTGGGAGTGTTTAAAAACCAGTTGACAATTCTGCCAATGATGTCATAAAAATAACAACTTATACTCAAGTGGTTCTGACTGCTTTCCTATTTGGCTGTGTTTTGAAAAACTAATGTCAACATGGTCTTAAAGTGCCACATCCTACTGACCACTTAATCAGCTGGATGTAAGGGACTCGAATTCCTTCATGTAAAAGCTTCCAGTGTCCCTTTGCTACTCACCAGCAGATGTCCCAGCGTTAACTGCTCTGCACAACCTCTGCTTTCATTCCGACAATAGATCTGAAGAGCCAGAATTTCTCTCTTGCAGCAATTATCCTTAAACACCTGAAAATGAAAGGTCATTATTTTGGAGGATTAATATTTCTTAATCTCCACATGCTGCTACTCTGGACAAGGCAAAACCACTTAAAAAAAAAAAAAAAAAAAAAAAAAAACAAGAGAGCAACTCTTAAGTGAACTTCAGAAAGCATTAAGGACCATCTTGATTTCTAGAAGTAGAATGAAGAAGCCGCTCCCACTAAGAGACGCAATTTAAATAACATTAACTGTTATCTTTTATTAGTTAAGCCAAAAGAAAATGGATTAGACTTAATAATTAAAGATCACTCTGCAGCATCTAAACATCTTCTATTAACCTTGACATAATCTCAGGATGAGGGCAGAGGAGGACCAGGTTCACATTCAGACTCTGGGGACTTCCAGGAGCCAGCACTGAGCAGGTGGCCATTATGGTGTGGCTGCCACCAGAGGACAAGAGCAGAACCAGACACAACTGAATACACTCTATAGATGGCTTGCTGGAGAAACGGAGAGACCACATAAGAGATCATATCTGGGGAATGATTTGTAAAACTGTTGGTTCTTTCTAAAGGTCATGCTGTTAAAACTCATTTTTCACCAAAAAAGCAGCATTAGCCTGTGGCTGAAAAACACTCTCTTAAAACATATATTGCAGTCTGAAGTTAGTCTAATAATGAAAACATTTCCCTTTGAAAATGAAAATGATGCTGGTCGTGGTGGCTCAAGCCTGGAATCCCAGCACTCTGGGAAACTGAGGTAGGGAGGATCGCTTGAGCCCAGGAGTTTGAGACCAGCCTGGGCAACACAATGAGACCCTATCTCTACAAAAATTTTTTAAAAATTAGCTGGGTAGGGCAGCATGTGCCTGTAGTCTCAGCTACTCAGGAGGCTGAGGCAGGAGGACTGCTTTAGCCTGGGAGGTCGAGGATGCAGTGAGCCGTGATAGCACTGCTGCACTCCAGAATGGGGGACAGTGTGAGACCCCCATCTCTTTAACAAAAATAAAAAAGAAGAAAAGAAAAAATCTTTCAACTTTTAATTTTATTTTTCCCTTAGAAAACACATGTATTCTCATTCTTTTTTTTTCTCTTTTTTTTTTTTTTTAAGAGACAGGGTTGACTGGGCGCAGTGGCTCACCCCTGTAATCCCAGCACTTTGGGAGGCTGAGGCGGGTGGATCACCTGAGGTCAGGAGTTCGAGACCAGCCTGGCTAACATGGTGAAACCCCATCACTACTAGAAATACAAAAGAAAAATAACCGGATGTGGTGGCACATGCCTGTAGTCCCAGCTACTCAGGAGGTTGAGGCAGAAGAATTGCTTGAACCGGGAGGAGGACGTTGCAGTGAGCTGAGATCATGCCACTGTAGTCCAGCCTGGGCAACACACTGAGACTCCATCTCAGAAAGAGACAGGGTTTCACTCTATCACTCAGGCTGGAGTGCACTGGGGCAATCATGACTCACTACAGCCTTAAACTCCCGGGCTCAAGCGATCCTCTCACCTCAGCCTCCTGAGTGGCTTGAACTACAGGTGCATGCCACCAAGCCCAGGTAACTTTTCAATTTTCATTTTTGTAGAGAAGGGGTCTCCATATGCTGCCCAGTCTGGTCTCGAACTCCTGAGTCCAAATGATCCACCTGCCTCAGCTCCCAAATCCTGGGATCATATGCATAAGGCACCGTGCCCAGCTCTTTCTCACTCTAACAACACAATCTACAACGTCTTAGTCCAAAGGTATTTCTAAGAAACTCCTGTCTGTTGATCTATGAAAGTAGAACAACAGGAGCTTAATATGCCTTTTTGGACTGCTAAGAGAAACAGAATCAATAGCTGTTAAGAGTTAAAACTAAACTAATTTGGAGCCAAAGCTTATCTTTCATAAACATGGCTTAAAAAAAAGGTCATGACTTAAGATACTAAAGTCAACAGAACTTTGAAATGGAAAGGATCTGAGACTATTTACTCCAAATGTCTGTTTACAGATGAAGACCAGAGGCCCACCCATCCCTGGATGACCTGCTGATGGGTGGGGGTCTGGGTCACCCGGGGCCCAGACAGCTCCATTTTTTCCATGAGGGTCCACAACTTGAGTGCATCTCATTCATGATTATTTGATAAAACTAGCCATTTTTCTTCAGCTACTAATGTCATTAAAAAATAGGGATAATGATTCTGCATAACAAAACAGAAATACTAAAAAAAAATCTCAGCCATCATTGCGAGCTTCTCTCTCACTCACACATTAGGCACATGTTAACAAGGCAGCCGGGTACCATGCTAGGACAAGGCACAGAGCGGAGGGGAGGGCTGTTTTCCCTCACAGGAACTAACCAAGTCTTCAGCAGTAGCAGGTAAACGCGGAGAAAGAAAAGGTACAGGGCCCAGGTGGCCAATTCCATCTCTTCCCCTCCAGAGTGGCTATATTGCATGCCCTTGTGCCTGGCAGCCCAGGGACGCTGACTGCCAGCAATCCTCAAATGACTGCACTCACCTGGGCTGCTCTGACCAACAAACCCAATCTGCAAGGTGCTTTAGACAGGAAAACCCCAGAGCAAGAATTTTATTGTACAACTTAGTGACCTGCATTTAAAAAATGGTTAGGTTCATTACTCAAAGTAGGGAAACACACATTTTTACTGATATTTTAAGCACTTTAAAAATGAATTGCTGGGTGCAGTGGTTCACGCCTCTAATCCCAGCACTTTGGGAGGTTGAGGCAGGTGGATCACCTGAGGTCAGGAGTTCGAGATTGGCCTAACCAACATGGTGAAACCCCGTGTCTACTAAAAATACAAAAATTAGCTGGGTGTGGTAGCTTGTGCCTGTAATCCCAGCTACTCGGGAGGCTGTGGCATGAGAACTGCTTGAACCCGGGAGGCGGAGGTTGCAATGAGCCGAGATCGTGCCATTGCGCTCCAGCCTGTGAGACAACAGCGAAACTCTGTCTCAACAACAACAAAAAAGAATGAATTGTTTCAAACTCCAAGTGGGCCTGGCAGGGTATAGTAGCACATGGATGACTGTCAGTCTCCATGAGAAGGACCAGGCCCCAGGAGAGAAGCTGGTGGCAGGCTGGGCAGCCCTATCCTCTGAATGTGCAGAGATGCCCACGGGCTCTAGCTGAGGACAGCCACAGGGGGCGAGAAGGGGCTAATCTCACTCATATCTAATGACTTCAAGATATCACAGGGGGATGGGGGGCAGGGAGCACAAACTCAAATGAACCCCTCAGCCTAGCAAGTCTGAAGGTAAAACCTAGTGTAAAAGTTGAGTAAAAGCTGTCTAGGATAAAGACCCGCAATGACGGAAGTGACCCAACCACAGATAGCCCTGCCACGGACAGGCATCTCGGCACTTTGCTCACATCGACCCTCTTACTCCTCATACCAGCTCTCTGCAGTCTTGGCAGGCGATGTGATTATTATTACAGGTGAGGGGGTGAAGTAGCTCATGGAGCTCACACAGTAGGGAAGTGGCCAAGTGGATCTGAACCCACTGCCTGCCCAGGTGATCACATGGCACAGTGCCCTGCCTGGGAGCCTGCCGCATCAGCTGCCAAAACTGATAGAATGTGTTGTGCCAGAGTGCCGAATGCAAACTATGTGAAAAGTACTACCCAGCTGAAAACATGTGACAAAATGATTAAAAAAAAAAAACCAGAATACCTTATCTTTAACGATGCTCTCTTGACACGCTGTACATTTTGGACTTGAAGAGCTGCAGGGAAACACACGTGACTACATTAGAGTGAAAGTCCCTTTCTTGAGGGGCCTCAGGAGATTCTGGGAGCATTTGCTTTATGGTCAGGTCTGCACAGTGGCTCACAGCAACGTCCTGCATCAGGACGCCCTGGTGATTCACTTTACAAAGGAAGCCTTGGGAGAAAAGGGCTACATGTTTTTAAATGCTGATTTTTCTTTTTTTTTTTTTTTTTTTTTTTTTTTTGGAGACGGAGTCTCGCTCTTTCCCCCTGGCTGGAGTGCAGTGGTGCGATCTCAGCTCACTGCAAGCTCCGCCTCCCGATTCACGCCATTCTCCTGCCTCAGCCTCCTGAGTAGCTGGGACTACAGGCGTCCGCCACCGCGCCCAGCTAATTTTTTTGTATTTTTAGTAGAGACAGGGTTTCACGTGTTAGCCAGGATGGTCTCGATCTCCTGACCTTGTGATCCACCCGCCTCGGCCTCCCAAAGTGCTGGGATTACAGGCGTGAGCCACCGCGCCCGGCCAAAATGCTGATTTTTCAAAAGGAAGTTACCAAGTAGAACAGTTTAGTTTAGCCCCACTTGGAAAGCCTCTTCCACTTAATGTAAAAGTGAAATTTTATTTCAGAAACCAAAGTTAGCTGTCTGCAGAGCAGCCCTTTGATGTGAGTACCGTTTACCTGGAGAGCCTTGCTCCTGTGTTGTAAAAGCAGCCAGCCCTTCTCCACAGGCGATTTTGCTTCACTGTCTATTGGAAGGCCAATGGCACTTGCACAGGGGGATCAGCCTCCCTCCCCTGTGGCCCACCATATATGGGGGCTCCAGCCCCTCCTCCACCAGGAAGCTTCTCCTGGGCCCAGAGGTGGGCAAAGGTGAGCTGACTGGGATAAGTGGGTAAGACCACAGAGGGAAGCATGGAGAAGAGAGAGGGTGAAGGCAGGTGACAGGGCAGGGGGCTGGCTGCTGTGCCCAGGCTGGGGCTCGGGGGCAGCCCAGGCTTGAGTGTTGTGGGAGGAGGAGCTGGCAACCTTCCCAGGCTGACGTGCCCTGACAGCACTGGCCAAGACCAGGGCATCCTGCAGCAACCCCCACCACCCGGCACAATGCCAGAAAACATAAACATGAGGCCTGCAGGGTGAATCAAGGTGCTCTCCTGGTCGATGCTATCCTGCAGTAAAGCTCCAGCCTGCCTTCATGATCCGCCAGCGGCACCAGCACTGGCACTCAGCAGCAAAGCGCTGCCAAGAGCTCGGTGCGCGTAACACATGCGCCTGCTGAGTAAGCCTGCGGCCTAGGTTTCTGCTCGCCTAGGGACCTACCCAGTCCTTTAAGCTGACCCCATCCCCCCTCCTCTCTGTAGCACCCTTGCACACCAGTACGTGTGCCCTTAAATGACTGGCTTGTCATTTCCTGGTGTGTCTCCTCCATGGAACTGTGAGCTTCCTCAATAAAATACAGCAACACATATGAGGCACCAAGGCTCTACAGAGTGGGAAGACACAGGCGGGGCAGGTCAGAGACAGGCAGAGGCCTCAGTAAACTCAGATGTGGGATCCCCCTGCACCTCCCTAAAGGATTCACAAGCTGGACCCGGAGGCTTTTATGACTTCTTTAGGGCTTTAAACCTCTAGAGGTGTAGCTTTAGAGAAATGAATGAAGGAGAGGGTGAAGCCGAGGGCTGAGAAGCGGCAGGGTGACGGGCCGGACGAGATGCTACCTCAGCAGGGCAGCCATGCAGCTCTCGCAGAAGCGGTGCCCACACTCGGTCTGCTTCGGGCTGCACAGCACCAGGCGGCACTTCTCACACTTGTACTTGTCCTCCACGGTCTTCACAAACTTTTCCTTGTAACCTCCTTGTTCAGGGGCAAAAATCGGCGTCCCAGCACTGCGGTCAGTGTGCAGCTTTAGCGGCGGGTTAGTCTGCAGTGGGCCAGGGGAGTCCATCTTTTTACTCGACTCCATTTTAGGAAAGAGGAGTTCTGTTGGGGAAAAAACAGTAAAGAGAGCGCCATCATATCCTCTCATGCAAGGAAACAAACGCAGCTTTGGGAAAGCAGAAGTGCCTGAGACCTGCTGTCTTTCAGTTTTAGGTAACACAAGAATCCTTCCCAACTTTAATATGTGTTGGGAACAAAACATGATCAAATATGCTTCCTTCCTTTCTATTTTACCCAAACACATAGTAACTACTGATATTATTATTCAAAAAACTTCCTAAAAAGTATACTTAATAAATTGGGCTAGGTGTGGTGGTGCACACCTGTGGTCCCGGCTCCTTGGGAGGCTGAGGTGGGAAGATTGCTGAGCCCAGGAGTTCAAGGTTGCACCAAGCTATGATGGCACCACTGCACTCCAGCCTGGGCGACAGAGCGAGGCCCTATCTCCAAAAAAAAATTTTTTTTTTTTTTTTTTTGAGATGGAGTCTCACTCTGTCGCCCAGGCTGGAGTGCAGTGGCACAATCTCGGCCCACTGCAAGTTCTACCTCCTGGGTTCACGCCATTCTCCTGCCTCAGCCTCCCGAGTAGCTTGGGACTACAGGCGCCCACCACCACACCCGGCTAATTTTTTGTATTTTTAGTAGAGATGGGGTTTCATTGTGTTAGCCAGGATGGTCTCGATCTCCTGACCTTGTGATCCGCCCGCCTCGGCCTCCCAAAGTGCTGGGATTACAGGCGTGAGCCACCGTGCCCAGCCAAAAATTTTCTAAAGTTAATAATAAACAGAGTATTTTTGAGGTTTAAAAAAATACACATACTATTTTGCTGTGTTGTAACTTTGAATTCAATGCATCATTCTGAGATTTTAGCTGAAACAACAGCTGTTCTCAGTCAGTTTTCCTTCCTCATTGACTTCTGCTAGATGAGTCTCGATGCCACGACTCAGACTGGCCTGGTCAACCTGCTTCTGGAGCCCAGTTGTTCCTTCCCGGGTAAACCCTGTGACAGTGTGCCCACAGTACCCGAAGTGCTCAGTTTTGACATCCACCCTCTTCTTACTCATCTAGCACCTCCCTGACCCAACATGCTGTGCACGGAGCTGTGGGGTGGGCCCACTGTGGACCCACAGAGCACGCCACACCCTGTCACACCGGTGAGGAGTGTGTGAGGGAGGTGCCGCTCCCTGTGTGCACGAGGGGGCTCGGGTTCAGGTAGGTGCCAATGTGCCCAAAGGGCTGGGCTGGCAGAGGGGACCCACAAAGGGCAGGTCTGTCTGTGTGGGCTCTCTTCCACACCTGCTGACAAGGTACTCTTTAAGACTGGCTGCCTCCGACCTGCAAGTTCCCATCAACAGGTAAACAGCTCCTCAAAATGAGCCACAAAGGTCCCAGCCTGCACAGCTCTGTCAGATGAGACCTCAAGATCAAGTAAATGAAAATAACCAGGAATGTAAAGCAGTTGAATCGAGTTCCTGAAGAAATGAGAGCTTTAATAAAAATTACACTGTGCACTCATAAACACACTCATAATTTGATCAATCATCCTAAATATTTGCTAACACTTACCTAAAGCATAAATTAAATGTTTCCAGATGGTAGTATAAAGTCTGGCTTCTCTGATCTTTGTTTTCTGGATACCATGCAATGGCCATGCACTTCTATAATGAAAAAAACCCTGGGAATGCCAGCTAGTGTTTAGGTCTGTGTGTGCACCATGAACTTTCTTGGAAAAGTTTTTGCCCAGTGCCTTATGATCTTTACGAGGCTTCTGCAGGGCAGCTCCAGCACGGATGCTCTTCCTGTCTTTAACGCTCAGCCTGCACCACTCCCCTCCTGTCAGCAGCCCCTGGTCAGCCCTGCACCCCCATGTACCGTGGTAAGGAAGGGAGTGGCTGTGAAGGGAGGTGAGGGACCCACTGAGAACCAGACTCAGGAGCCTCAGGGAACACCGCTGCCTAGACCAGCCACCTCACATCAGAAGCCTCTGCACCACAGGATTTTTCTTGTGTAGTTTCCCACCTCCACGCCTCCTCCATCCTTTCTCATGATATGGTAATGCCTCAGGTGAAAAGGGGAAGTTCCTTTCAAAACTCACCAGCTCCCTCAAAAACACACTGCATTCCTGTACCCAATTCATCTATTTTTGCTACTTAGAAAAATAAGAGCCAAATTCCTTCCACTCCTGAGGTCCTGGGCATCCAGGGGAGGTAGTTGCTGGGTGGGCGGGCGGAGCCCCTCCTTCCGAGCTCCATTCTTGCTGCCTGCATGAAGCTGACAGGCACATGAGCTGACAGACTCCTAGCCTGACTTCACAGCTAGGAGCAAATAGGAATGAACGCCAGCAGCAGAGAACTTGAGAGACTGATGAACTGGTTAGTAACCCAAGTGTGTTAGCTTCAGAGAACATTACTGTGGCACAGTGTGGGAAATTACTTATTTGTGAAAACAAAGTTTTCAAAACATTAATGTTAAAGTATATGTATTATAGATGTCATCTGCTTACAAACTTGCCGGTTCATCACGATGCTCACTAATCTCTCCAAGCTAAGCAGCAAGGGCACCTGGTGCTAGCCTTGCCTGCCAGGTAAAAGGGTTGACCAGCCTTGACCTGCAGCCCCTGGCCCCTGCCACTGTGCTCTCCACACTGGCCCATCGTGCCTCAGAGGCTTTAGGTTCCCCTAGGCCCACCCAGCCAGGCCACTGCGGAGCCTACCCAGACACATGCAGGCCAGCCCCCGACCTTCTCTAGGAGGCTACCTTCCCACCCTCTCTCTCAGCTCCCGCATACTGCTCTGTGCTTTTCCCCAGGCCTCCTGCCACTAAGACTGCATGTAACTAAGTTTACCCAGGATGCATCCCCTAGATCAGATAATCAGGAATTGGCAAACTACAGTCTGCGATTCAAATCTAGCCAGCAGCCTATTTTTGTAAGGTCTTTGAACTAAGAATGTTTTTCAGATTTTTTAAGTGTTATAAAAACAAAGACTAAGAGTGTATGTGGTCCACAATGCCTCGGATATTTACTCTCTTGTCCCTAACAGAAAGAGTCTGCCAGTCCTTGCTCTGGACTCTACATCCAGAGAGCAGAGAGGAGTCGCTGGTGTGTAGGTTGTATGAAAGGCCAATTTTGTAAATAAGTGCCAAACTGCTCCCGAAAGCAGAGGTAACAACAAATACTTCCACCAGCAGCATGAGAATTTCTACGAAACCACACTCTCACCAACACTTACAGTTATCGGTCATCTTAATTTCTACCAACCAAGGACAATGGTCTTTTTGCTCCTTATCCTGATTAGAAAGGTTTGGCATCTTAATATGCCGAGAGGCCACTTGTTTTCTCTCCTGTGAAATGCCAAATTGTGTCTCCTTGTCACTGTTTTCTGTGTGTGTGTGTGTGCGTGTGTGTGCGTGTGCGTGTTTTCAAGAGATGGAGTCTCGTTCTGTTGCCCAGGCTGGAGTACAGTGGTGCCATCATGGCTCACTGCAGCCTCGAACCCCTGGGCTCAAGCAATCCTCCCACCTCAGCCTCCAGAGTAGCTAGGATTATAGGCACATGCCACCATGCCCAGCTAATTTTTTAATTTTTTTCAGGAGCTGGGGGTCTTGCCTGCTCTCAAGCTCCTGGCCTCAAGTGATCCTTCTACCTCAGCCTCCCAAAGCGCTGGGATTACAGGCATGAACCACTGTGCCTGGTGGTGTCATTTTTTTTAATTGGGTTATTGTCTCTTGTAATATTGATTTGGAGAGATTCCCCATCTATTTAATATGTTAACAGCTAATCCTTTGTTACTTTTATGTATTACAGATGTCTTTTCCCAATTTATGGCTTGATTTTTTTTTTTTAATTATTGTAAGTTCTGGGATACATGTGCAGAACGTGCAGGTTTGTTACATAGGTATACATGTGCCAGTGATTTGCTGCACCCATCAACCCGTCATCTGCATTAGGTATTTCTACTAATGCTATCCCCACCTTCCGACAGGCCCCGGTGTGTGATGTTCCCCTCCCTGTGTCCATGTGTTCTCATTGTTCAACTCCAACTTATGAGTGAGAACATGTGGTGTTTGGTTTTCTGTTCCTGTGTTAGTTTGCTAAGAATGATGGTTTCCAGCTTCATCCATGTCCCTGCAAAGGTCATGAACTCATTCTTTTGTATGGCTACATAGCATTCCACGGTGTACACGTGCTACATTTTCTTTATCCAGTCTATCATTGATGGGCATTTGGGTTGGTTCCAAGTCTTTGCTATTGTAAATAGTGCTGCAATAAACATACATGTGCATGTGTTTTAAAAATATGGAACTGCTCTGAGGCCGGGCACGGTGGCTCAAGCCTGTAATCCCAGCACTTTGGGAGGCCGAGACGGGAGGATCACGAGGTCAGGAGATCGAGATCATCCTGGCTAACACAGTGAAACCCCGTCTCTACTAAAAAATACAAAAAACTAGCCGGGCGAGGTGGCGGGCACCTGTAGTCCCAGCTACTCGGGAGGCTGAGGCAGGAGAATGGCGTGAACCTGGGAGGCGGAGCTTGCAGTGAGCCGAGATCCAGCCACTGCACTCCAGCCTGGGCGACAGAGCGAGACTCTGCCTCAAAAAAAAAAAAAAAAAAAATGGAACTGCTTCACGAATTTGCGTGTCATCCTTGCGCAGGGGCCATGCTAATCTTCTCTGTATTGTTCCAATTTTAGTATATGTGCTGCCAAAGCGAGCTTGACTTTAACTTTATGGTGTCTTTTAATGAAGAGAAATCTTAATTTTATTAGGCCAGGCGCAGTGACTCATGCCTGTAATCCCCACACTTTGGGAGGCTGAGGCGGGTGGATCACTTGAGGTCAGGAGTTCGAGAACAGCCTGGCCAGCATGGTGAAATCTTGTCTCTACTAAAATACAAAAATCAGTTGGGCATTGTGGCGCATGCCTATAGTCCCAGCTACTCGGGAAGCTGAGGCAGGAGAATTGCTTGAACCTGGAAGGCGGAGGTTTCAGTGACCCGAGATCGTGCCACTGTACTCCAGCCTGGGCGACAGAATGAGATTCCA